GAAAAGTTGAACAGAACTATAACAAAAGATGTTGATCAAGTCATTAAAACTACAAAAAATAAAAGTCCAGGTTAAGACTTTTTACTCGTGAATTTTACCAAGCATTCAAACAAGAAATGACACCATTTTTACTCAAACATTCAGAGAAGAGATGATGCCAGAATATAGAAAGGATGGAAGACTCATAAATAAATTTTTGAATTGATCATAACTCTCATACCAAAACCAGTTAAGGACATCACGAAAGAAAAAAACTATAGACCAATATCCCTCATGAATATAGATGCAAAACATTTCAACAAGTTCCTAACCAAAAATATCTAGCAACATATACAAAAATATAATGAATAGACTATGGCCAAGTGTAATTCATTACATGGATGCAAGGATGGTTCAATTTTTTTTTTAATCAACTCAGCATATTAATTTTAAAAAGAAAGAAAAGAATCACATGATCATATTGATTGATGCAGAAAGGCATTTGACAAAATCCAACATGAATTTTTGATAGAACACAACTAAGTGAAAATTGAAGGGAAATGCCTCCACATATTCAAGATCTTATTTACAAATCCAACCCTCAAAATTACTCCCAATGGAGCGACACAAAAAGCATTCTCTTTACAAATAGGAACTAGGCAAGTAAGCCCTTTATCACCACTCCCATTCAGCATTGTGTTGGAAATGTTAGCCAGAGCTATAAGGCAAAATAGGGAAATTAAAGGCATCCAAATAGGCAAAGAAGAAGTAAAAGACTCTATTTGCAGATGATATGATCATGCACATGAAAATCCCCAAAGGCTCAGCAAGAAAACAACTGAAACTCATTGAAAGATTCAACAAAGTTGTTGTTGTTGTTAACTGCCGTGGAGTTGGTTCCAACTCATAGTGACCCCGCACAGGGTTTCTGAGGTTACAGGAGCAAAAAGCCTCATCCTTCTCCCATGGAACAGCTGGCAGTTTCGAGCTGCTGGCCTTGATGTTAGCAGCCCTATTTGTAACCACTACGCTACCAGGGCTCCTGTTGGATACCTCTATACTAATAGAGACAGCTCTGAAAAGGAAATTAGGAGAACAATACCATTTACAATTGCCACCCAAATGATTAAATACTTAGGAATCAATCTAACCAACCAAACAAAAGACCTATACAAAGACAATTACAAAACACTACTACAAGAAACCAAAAGAGATATACAAAAATGGAAGAATAAACCATTCAGGAAGGCTTACCATTGTAAAAATGCCAATCTGTAGATACAATGCAATCCCAAGTCCTGGTGTGGCACTGTGGTCTAATGCATCACACTGCAAAGTCATTTGAACTGCATGGTTGGTGGATCAAGCTCACCAGCTGCTCCTTGGAAACCCTATACAGGGTCACTATGGGTTGGAATCTACTCGACGGCACTTAACAACAACAACAAACCAGATTCAAACTTCATTCTTGAAAGAGCAGGAAAAAAATGATTATAGACTTTATATACAAAGGAAAGAGACCTCAGATAAGCAAAGAACAAAGTTGGAGATCTCTCACTTCCTGAACTCAAAATTTACTACCTAGCCACAGCGGTCAAAACAGCTAAGTATTAGTACAATGAAAGATTCAATGGAACAGAATTGAGAACCCAGAAGTAAATTCATCCACATAAAATCAGCAGATATTTGACAAAGGGCCAAAACACATTAGATGGGGAAAGAGATAGTCTTTGGGAAATCAATTTGAAGAAGAATGAAATAAGATCCATACCTCACACCATATACAAAGTAAACTCAGCATGGATTAAAGTCCTCAATGTAAAACCTAGAACCATATAGATTATCAATGAAAAAATGTAGGGGATTTTAATAAATGGGGGGATCCTGGTGTGGCATTGTGGGTTAATGCACCAGACAGCAAAGCCGTTTGAACTGCAAGGTTGGCAGTTCAAGCTCACCAGCTGCTCCTTGGAAACCCTATATAGGGTCATATGGGTCAGAATCGACTCAATGGCACTTAAAAACAACAACAAATAAATGACATTTGGTTAATGTGCTAGACTGCAAGGTCCAGCCCATTAACCCAATGCATTAAGGTGACACAGTAGAATAATGGGTTGGACTGCAACGCTGCTTTTAACTGCAAGGTCGGCAGTTCAAACTCACCAGCTGTTCCTCAGAAACTCTATACAGGGTCGCTATGAGTTGGTATTGACTCAATGGTACTTAACAACAACAACAATAAATGGCATACATACACTATCAAACACTGCACAAGCAGAAGACAACATAAATGACTAGGACCTCCTAAAAATTAGAAAACTATTCAAAAACAAGCAAGCTGCTCACCAA